TTAATAAAACTTACTACCGAGTTAATATAGAACACGCGCCGTATATTCACTCGATAGTAGCAATAAAATCAAGATGAAAACGATTGAGATTGATAACCTCAACACAAGCGGTTTATTGGTTTAATCAATATAATTAATTCCCCTTGGTTTATTAACCATGAGAAGCATGCATTAACAACCCAAGTTTACTACCATTGAAAGAACCGAATTAATAACAAGCGTATTAACCGATTGATTCTAGTAATAATTAATATATGAAACAAAACTAGTTGATCCTTTAAGTAATGTTCAAAATATTAATATGAAATATGAATAGGAATTAATTAATATTCAAGGAAGAATATTAAAGAAGATGAATCCTACTATAGTTAATATCAAGATGTTGACTAATTGTCATCTTAGTAACACTCCCCAATATTAACATAGAGGAAGAAATAGCTATTACTATAATTAATGTCAAGATGTTAACTAATTGTCATCTTAGTAACACTCCCCAACATTGATATAGAAATAGTATTTAAAGGAAGAATTAATATTCAAGGAAGAAGATTAAAGAGAATAACTCACAACTTACAAATTCATTAAGCTTCAAAGTAGCAAAACCAAGATGGAAGAGTTTAGCTCCTCATTTGGAGACTAAACATGATAGAAAATATAAAGAAAACACTAATCTAAACTGAGCTAAAGAGTATATGTGAATTGGTTCTTTTATTGTGAAGGAAATGGGGTGTATTTATAGGCTTTTGGGAGCTGCAGGGCTGTGTACCCGATCGGGCTTCAAGGCCACTCGATCGGGTACTTAGAGAGCTTCCCGGAAGCCAGAAAATTGGGGCATACCCGATCGGGTATGTCGGTCACCCGATCGGGTATGACACCCGAACGTGGTTAAAAATCTTCCCGCATGATGCCTTGTTCCCGGATTTGATCCGATTTGATTTTTTAGCAAGGTACCCGATCGGTATAGGTCATACCCGACCGGGTACAACACAAAAAATCAGGATCTTCCATTCTTTCATTCTTATGGTTGTATGATTGTTAGAAATTGGGACTAACATTAAATAGACATTAATATGAATTCACTCAAATTTATTCTTGTGATCTTCATTGCTAGTTCAGATTATTTTTTTGGACACTCTAAATAGAGATTATTATTTTAGAATCCCTAAAGTAGAGATTATTTTTTGAATTCCACCAAAATTCTTTAGTATTTTTCTCATAGTGATTGTTTTTAGAGTGGTTAATGTATTAAATAAGAGTTGCTATACACAAGTGACTTTTAGATGCCATGCCTTGACAATTCCATTAACGGTTAAAAACACAAAAGGACAGAGTTGATATAACTAAATAGAATACGGATTATATTATAATGATAGATTTATTATTTGAGATAGTTACCCCACATATGAGTAAAACTTCTTCACATTCCTAATCTATGACCAACTTAATTTTTTCCCCAAAATAATATTTAAATTCGTAATAATTAATTAATTGATTGATTAATTAAATTTCAATGGACTAATACACCCTTAGCCTATTATTATAAAACCCTAAAACCCTCATGAGAGAAAAGCTATCGATGGCAAGAGAGCGCAGCCAGATTCAGCGGCAATTGACGAGGGCTTCAACCTGCAGGGATGATGAAGATGGCTACAAGAGGATCCGGCAGGCCGCCGGCAGTCGGCAGTCACCAGGTATGATTCTTAGTAGGACCATGGCGTTACTGTTTGAGTTTTTCTGGATCGTAGTTACTTTCCTTGATCGAACGGATCCCAGGCGGGACCATGGGGTTATTATTTGAGTTTTTTCAATTCTATTTGTCTTTAATAGAGCAGATGAAGAAACTTGGACTTTAGGGATATGTGGGCAATTTTAGAACTTCAGTGCTCAAGGCTCACAACAATTCCATATTACTCTATTTGATTCTCCAAAACATAGGAATCCAAAATGCAGTGAATAATTCTTTTTAATGCAATATGTACTTCGTATATTAAGTGTGATTATAGCACAAGCTTGAATTGACAATCATTTCATATTTGCAGATTTATCCAACTCGCCGCCGCTCAACCGTTCAAAGTAGGGTTTATGGATGGGCATTATACATGTGCAGTGAACATAGACAATGATGAGCATGATCAGTAAACATGGCAATAAATATGGTTGAATATGGGGAGTGAATATGGCAATAGATAATGTTGTTAATGCGCAGTGAATGAATGCATTGACAAAGTGTGTTGTGCATTGAATTGTAAGCAATAGATTGTGTCATAACGTTGGCGGAAAGTGCAGTGATTATGAGCTAATGTAGAGCAGTAACACTGACATTAAATGCAATATATTTAATTAGACGTAAAAATACTAAAATTATTAAATCTAAATACATGAAAAAGAACTATAAATAAATTCCCAATTAAAGAGGATGAGAGGAGAACTAATGTTGGTGGAAGTGCAATGATTATTACCGGATGTGCAGTAAAGTCATGCATTAATTTTGTGCATTAACGTCAATATAAAGTGCAGTAATTTTAATAGAACGAAATTAGTGCAATACGCACATATTTTAAATAAGGGTATTTTCGTCATTCAACATTTAAATATAAACGGATTTTCTATTTGTTTTTGGATTTTTGGTCATACAAAGGTATAAAAACTAGTTAAGTCATAGATTGAGAAACTCGTCGAGTTTTAGTCATATCCCGGTAAATTTCCCTATTTGATTTTAGGGATCAACACAATATGGTGATAATAGTTTAGGGACCAATACGATAGTTTAAGAACCATTTGTGCATTTTATCCTTCTGAAATTAATGCTAAATAAAAAAAAATAACAAGCTTATCTTTATATTTATAAAAAACTCAACCCTTTTCAAAGCTTTAGTTGTATTTTTGGTAAAGGAAAAACTGTTGACCTATTTAGCGGGTGTTTCAATTATAAACCGAAATATATACAATCCAATTTTGGATTTCCAATATTTTGACTACAAACAACAACAACAACAACAACAACAACAACAACAACAACAACAACAACAACAACAACAACAACAACAACAACAACAACAGCAACAACAACAACAACATCCAAGCCTTAGTCCCAAATGATATTGGGGTCGGCTAACATGAATTGATACATGATATCACCAAAAGGAAAAGAAAGAAAATAAAGAAAATAAAGAAAAAAAGATAAGCTATTATAAAAAAAGATAATATAAAAGAGATGAATATACATATAAAAGATCAAATAAAAGGGATAAAGTAATATTTATATATATGGATAAAAATATAAAAGAAAAAGGAAAAAAAAAAAAAAAAAAAGAGGGGAAAAGATGATACAAGATCACTCCTCCACACGAATACCCACCCTCCATTTTGCTCTCTCCAAAGTCATACCCTCATTCAATCCAAGAAGAAGCATATCATTTCTGACTCCCTTAACCCACGTCTGTTTGGGCCTTCCTCTCCCTCTCTTCCCTACCTCTTCTCCACACATCTCAACTCGTCTGACAGGTGCATCACTCGGTCTTCTATGCACATGACCACACCACCGTAGGCGCGGCTCCCGCATCTTATCTTCAATAGGTGCTACTCCTACCCTTTGTCTGATTGTCTCATTCCGCACGCGGTCCTTTCTAGTATGCCCACACATCCAACGTAGCATGCGCATCTCTGCCACACTCATCTTTTGAATGTGACATTGTTTCACCGCCCAACACTCTGTGCCATACAGTAATGCATGCCTAATTATTGTCCTATAAAATTTACCCTTCAGTCTATTCGGCATACCTCGATCGCATAGAAATTCTGACGCACTCTTCCACTTCATCCACTCTGTTCTGATTCTATGGGATACATCTCCATCTAACTCACCGTCCTTCTGAATTATGGAGCCCAAGTAACAGAACATATCGCTGACCGGTATCTCCTTACCATCTAAAGTAATTCCGCTATTACCACTGCTTCTACCTCCACCAAACTTGCACTCCATGTACTTTGTCTTGCTCCTACTTAGTCTGAAACCCTTGTTCTCCAATGTTTGTCGCCATACTTCCAACTTTGCTTTAACCCCTGATTGCGTCTCATCAATCAATACAATATCGTCGGCAAACATCATGCACCACGGTATATCGTCTTGAATTGACTTTGTAAGTTCATCCATGACTATGGCAAATAAAAAATGGCTCAGAGCCGATCCTTGGTGCACTCCGATAGTAATAGGGAACTCCGCAGTCCTCCCTACACTAGTACGGACACTTGTAGTACAATCCTCATACATATCCATGATGATGCTGATATACTTGAAATGCCTTTTCTAGTTAAGACCCACCAAAGAACTTCTCGATGTATCCTATCATATGCCTTTTCTAAGTCAATGAATACTAAATGCAAATCCTTGTGAGCGTCTCTATACTTCTCCATAAGTTGCCGAAGAAGGTGAATTAAATTGGAAATGGATCCCATGTCACAGATCCAAGGGATAGGAAGAAAGAGTTTGAGATGTACGAAAATGGATTTTATGTACTCCCTATTTTTTCTGTCCCAATTTGATTTGCAAATTCCTTCAACATTTTTTGTCAATCAATATTAAAGTTAAATCCTTCATATTAATAATTAATTCAATTTTTAATAATTAAAATTTACATATTCAAAAATTACATTAAAAAAATTTCAAAGTTACAAACTTAAAATTAAAATATAAATAACAATTGACATCTTTATTAAGTGAACAAAATGTTTGATCAAGAAAATCAATTTTACAAATCAATTTGAAACGAAAATAATATTAAGTCAGTCAAATCTAAATAAAAACTCCAAATCCAGTTAAATTAGGCAACTTTACCGAAAATCATACTAGTAGTGGTTAATGATTTAATGGACTTCACAAGGTTTCGAATCCCCGTTGGAAAGCACTTTTGGAAGCACTTTTTTTTTTGGAAGCAGTGGTAAGAAAACATTAAAGGTGGGCCCAATGAAGGTGTATTTAAACCCGACATTCAAAGACACAAACTAGCACAGAAGGAATGAAATCAGAGCTCCGCAGCAATGGCGAATAGTAGTCGTATGGGACGACTCAGAGAAGGGTTTTTTCAGGTTCCGTTGTGCGGCGAAGCGCATGAAATTGAACACTCATCTAGAGACGGCAGCCACTACAGCCTTTCTACGGGCATTCTTCCTCCTCTGGGTGCTCGAAGCAACCGCGGAGTTAAACTCCGCCGGTTTATTGTCTCTCCCTATGATCGCCGTTATAGGTTAACTTCTTCTTATGCATAGAATGCATCAGTTATTGTTTCCATTCTTCAGTTTGATTCTACTGTTTTATCATACCCGTTTCCAAATTTTATACTTTTTTTAATATGAATTTCATAAACATGAAATATGGTATAATAGAGAGAGATTAATTTGGGGCTAAATACACACAAAAAATCATTGAAAGCTTAAGGTATTTGAGTATTTCTTCATTTATTTTCCGGGGGCAGCAATGGGTATACTATAATCATGATGCGTCTAGCCTCCTTAAGAATGAAGTACCCAGCAACTGATAGATTGGGATTTCGGAACTTCAACTTGAACGTGGGCTTCAGCAACATAACGCTTGCTAAATATTCTAGTCTCTTTAGTTTTCCATCTGCAGGGAAAATGTTACAAAACGACCATCTGGGGACTATGCAGGAGGCAATTTACGATGCATTTTGCTGATTATAGTTCCCCTAGGCTTCATTGCTTTGAGATGCTAAATCTTGACTGAACAAAAAAGCCTTATTGCTTATTCTCCTTTGGTCTCCCTTCCTTTTAAAGAATACGCAGTATATATTGTGGTCGAAAGGGTTCAAAACTTTTACTCCAGCTAGAGCCATCCACCATTTGTTTCTTATTAACTGAACTTTGATGCCCATATGCCACCACTGCGTGTAATAGACACATGATTACTGTAAAAAAATTGGAGCTCATTTAGTAATTACTTAAACCAAACAAAATATCCAATTGTTGAAACAAAGGCTAAAAATTAATTTGCATCATATCCAGAGATTATCCCATGAGAATTCAGCTATTGTCATTTTGCTAATAGATTGTATTTAACATGAAGTTCTGTAATACGGAGTAATTATTTAATGCGTAGTATGTCTATTTGATAACAACAAAAATATCTCTCAAATTGAAGATGATCATCTCTTCTCATGTTTATTATAGAAGTTGTAGTTATCTCCTTGAACCATAGAAGTATGTTTTTCAATGATTCTTCACTTTTATTCTCTAAAATAATCTCACCTTGGATAAAAATTTCAGGTCATGGGAGACTTTTCTGGCCGCCCTGGTCCTATATATTGCTTGGGTATCTCCTTTTGAATTCGGTTTTCTTTCATACCCCGCAGGAACTCTCTCTATTATTGATAATGTTGTGAACAGTTTCTTCGCAATTGACATTGTTCTCACTTTCTTTGTGGCATACATGGATAAAACCACATACCTTCTTGTTGATACCCCCAAACGGATCGCTTGGCGTTATGCAAGTACTTGGTTCATATTTGATGTCATTTCCACAATCCCTCCAGAAGTCGCTTGTAAAATCTCACCTCCTTTAAGCTTGTATGGTTTATTCAGTATGCTTCGCCTCTGGCGTCTCCGTAGAGTTAGTGCCCTATTTGCCAGGTAATTCCTTTGACTACTGTAATGAATTACTACCAATAATGATTGGAGAGTAATAGGCTGCACCATTCTCTTTTCTATAGATTGGAGAAAGATAGGAATTTCAGTTATTTTTGGGTTCGATGTGCAAAACTTATATGCGTAAGTGCGTACTGAAAATACTGTTGTTTTCTGTGAAGGGGGAATTTGATGCAAGGCTGCTGATGAAACACAATGTGATCTGTTGTGTGTAATGCAGGTTACCCTTTTTGCGGTTCATGTTGCTGGGTGCTTCTATTATTTCCTTGCTGCTCATTATCATGACCCAAAGAGAACTTGGATTGGGGCATCTATGGAAGATTTCCGTCACCAGAATCTAGGGATTCGTTATGTTACTTCTATATATTGGTCAATCACAACTCTGACGACAGTTGGTTATGGTGACCTGCATGCTGAGAACACTATGGAGATGATATTCACCATGTTCTACATGCTCTTTAACTTGGGGCTGACAGCATACTTGATAGGAAATATGACGAATTTAGTAGTTCATCGTACAAGCAAGACCAGACAATTTGTGAGCACGTCATACCATGTTGGGTCAATGAAATCATCTATTATATATCCTTGTATGGCTTGCAATGTGAAGAAATTTTTTACTTGCCAATAATTACAGAGAGATGCAATTCAAACAGCCTCAAGTTTTGCACACAGGAATCAGTTGCCCGCTCGCCTCCAAGAACAGATGCTTGCTCACTTGTGCTTGAAGTTCAGAACAGATTCAGAGGGACTGCAGCAGCAAGAGACACTTGATTCCCTCCCCAAAGCTATCCGGTCAAGCATATCACATTTTCTGTTTTACTCTTTGGTTGATAATGTCTATCTTTTTCGGGGAGTATCAAATGATTTGCTCTTCCAACTAGTGAGTTCAGATGCATATTACATATAAATGATAAAATACACAGCAATTTCTCTATTTTTTAATAAAAATATTTAATAACACATTTTTTTGGTGTAATATAAGGTCTCAGAGATGAAAGCAGAGTACTTTCCCCCCAAAGAGGATGTAATTCTTCAAAATGAAGCACCAACAGACTTCTACATTCTTGTGACGGGAGCTGCGGTATTTTGTTTTTATCCTCAGTAAAAATGACTTGTATAAAGTATTAACAAATCATATGCTAAGTATTATTTACCCTTGAAATTGCCTGGCAGGATCTACTGGTCTACAAAAATGGAGTTGAACAGGTAAGTGTCATGTGAAAACCTCCCAGATCACTACCTTTGCATGGAAGATTTCCTTATATTACATGGATTAATCCATTGGCTTCATGCATGAGTTTTGCTCTTTATGCTTCATAGTTTTGTTTGGTGTGGTTATGATGCACTCTAGGTTGTTGGTGAGGCCAAGACTGGTGATCCTGTTGGTGAAACTGGGGTTCTTTGTTATAGGCCCCAGCTATTCACAGTCCGTACAAGAAGATTGAGTCAGCTTCTACGACTGAACCGTACTTCATTTTTAAATATAGTTCAGTCCAATGTTGGAGATGGAACCATCATTATGAATAACCTCCTTCAGGTCAGAATGTCAAATTTCGTATAAATTTAACATTTTGCAGACTATAACATATAGATGTACTGGTAGCAGCATTTGAAGAATGCAAGGGATCCCATTATGGTGGGAGTCCTCTTACAGACAGAGAACATGTTAGCCCGAGGAAGAATGGACCTACCTCTCACCCTTTGCTTTGCCGCACTCAGAGGAGATGATTTATTGTTGCGCCATCTGCTGAAGCGGGGCCTTGACCCAAATGAATCTGACAACAATGGAAGATCTGCTCTTGTATGTGAACTCTAATGCTGATTCTCTTATACACGAGTACCACATTTTAGTCATTTTTGTTTGCTTTTTCCACCTTCAGCATATAGCAGCATCCAAAGGATGTGAGAACTGTGTAGCTCTTCTGTTGGACTTTGGGGCTGATCCGAACTGCATAGGTATAAATTCTACACTACATTGTAACGAATTTAGTTTCCAAAATTTGTTAATGGTTTGAAATTTCGTTCGCTTCCATCCTCTCCAGTGAACGGATCATAACAGTGGATTTTAAATCATATAATACAGATAATTTCGACATGTTCATGCATTTTCTCTCTCGATATATGTGTTTCCATTATTTCACTTTTTTGAAGTCCATGTCATCTGAAACACACACATCCTATCTGTATTTTCTCTCTATTGTTTTTTAGAAGTGAAATCGAGTATGATTCATTACTGAAGCAATTATTTATCCTTAACATAGAATTATGATTCCCAGGGTTTTGTCATAATAAGTGGTGGAGACAGGGATGGACTGGAGGGGGTCTTGCCCCCCCCCCCAAAGTAAAGTTTATGATGTATATATATATATGTTTGAATATTAATACGCAGTACAAAATATAGTGACATCCTTAACCCCCCCCCCCCCCCCCCCCCCAAATATATTTATTTAGGCCCCGGCCCCCCTAACGTGACATCTTTGGATCTGCCTGTTTGTCAACTTAGGATCTATAATGGTAATGATTAGTGCATTAATGTGCTTAGTTGTAAACTTTTCTGCATTTTCTTACGGTATTAAATATGTATACACAGACAGAGAAGGGAGTATACCGGTGTGGGAGGCCATCTTGGGAAAGCATGAATCAATCATCAGGCTGTTGATAGGCAATGGTGCTGAACTGTGCCGAGGTGACATGGGTCGTTTTGCGTGCATAGCGGCCGAAGAAAACAACATGGACCTACTCAAAGAAATTGTACAGTGGGGTGGGGATGTCACCCGTCCCAAAGCCAATAATGGATCAACAGCACTCCATATTGCAGTGTGCGAGGGAAACCTTGAGATGGTCAAGTACCTTGTGAACCAAGGGGCTGATATCGACAAACCCGAAGAAAACGGGTGGACCCCAAAGAGCCTTGCTGAACAGCAAGGCCACGAGGACATCAAACAACTATTTCTTGAGCTCTCCAAGAAAGAGAAGAACAAAACCACGTCTTATGTTGTTAATAACAATTTTATAACAGTACCCCTAGGTGAAGAAAGGAATGGGGTTCAGTTCTTGGGGAGGTTTAAGAGCGAGCCGACCATCCCTCTTTCTTCTTCACTCCAGGTGACAACTGAAGGGTCCTCAGGTTGGGGTCGATCTAGGAGGAGGACTAACACCTTCCACAACTCATTATTTGGAATACTATCAGCTGCTGCCCGAAACGGAGGAGACCAACAAGGAAGCTTGCCTCAACAAGGAAGCTTGCCTACATATCCTGCTGGGAATGCAACTGCAAAAACTGTGAGTGGGATGAAGACCTGTGTTACTGCCAGGGTCACTGTGAGTTGTCCTGAGAAAGGAGATGTCTCCGGGGTGGTTGTGATGCTTCCTAGTAGCTTCCAAGAGCTACTTCAGATTGGCATTAAGAAATACGGATTCTTGCCAGAAAAAGTTTTGAGCAAAGAGGGAGCAGAGATTGATTGTATAGAGTTGATCAGAGATAATGATCACTTGGTTTTTGCAATGTGATGGTAAAACCAGCTAAACTGTCTGCCACACCACACTTTCTTTCCCTTGGCTGTGGGAGGTGTTGTTGTGGCTGCTCATTAGCCTCTTCTACTAACTGCTAACTAAATGTAAACATGCCTGCCTTGGTGCATATGTATACCAAATCACACATCCACACCATATGTGAGGGCTTTGTGCGACACGTTTACGCGCAGTCCAAGCTGATCCCCTTTTTCTGATTCTATAATTCATTAAATAGGTAAGGACATACACACGTTTTTATTTCTCTGTTTTTGTTTCTCTGATTGCTCCCCTGCCTCTAGGGGTAAGCGCCGGTCAAGGACTGGATCGGAACCGATTGGACCAAAGCAAGGATTCTAAAAAATATTGGACATAAGTCTGGACTATATAGTTTTAGTCCATCACCAAATCGGTATTGGATCGGATTCGGTTTGTTAATTTAAGAAAATAACTTTTATGTAAAAACAATAACTTTGATCATTGGCTTAAATATTGAATCCATAGTTCCATTTTCAATAACAGTATGAATAACTTCAATAAAAAAACGGTCATAATTTTGTTTTCCTTTCCTTTAACGCAAGTTGAATCTTTTTTACACTCCTTTCATTTAGTTTTGAACCCAAGACCTCATGTATGAAAGAGTGAGTTGTTTGGATCTGAAACTGCCTTCATTGGTTTACGTGAGTCGGTTTCCTCAGGTAAGATGAGTTTTAACTATTTTATGTGATCCATTGGCTTCTATACCCTGGTAATATATTCTAGAGAGTTTCAAAGCGCAAATGAACACTTTCCCAACCTTGGATGATTTAATTGTAGACTTTGTTGAATAAACACTTGAGTTCTCAAGTTGTATATTTGAGTACACTGACTTGGTGAATAGTTTTGATTTATACAGAACTTCAATTTAATTTAAGTGTACCATTAAAATCATAAAATAATGGTACAATTAAAATACTTGGATTTATGGTAGATAATACAATAATGTACAAACATTTGAGGTGATAAATACGACATACATTTGTGCCTCACCTCTTCCCACAATTATCTTCCTTTTTTAAGAAAAAGGTTCATTAGTTCTCAGCTTCCAACTCATAACGTCCACCATCACTCTGCAAGCTCGCTGCCCGGTTGGAATTATTAAGCGTCATCACCTTCCCAATTCGTTTCCTGTTTACCCCTCTACCTCTTGATCTGTTCCCCTTCCTGGAATCCGCATCAGCTTGATCATCCGCGGCAGATATTCTTTTCTCACCTGAGCGAATATCATTTCCCTCCCTGTTGAAATAATTATTAGTCCTGCCCCTGGATTTTGGATGGGAGGCGGTTCTGTCGGCGCTCAACAATTCTGGATCTGAATTGACACAACTCTCGAATTCTCTATTGGGGGAGGATTCAGTTTGGAATTTGAATAACTGCGGCCCGTCTTTCTCGGACCACAGGTCAAACCCTCCCGGCTTCTGGAAACGGTCAGCGAGCACCTTGAGCTGTTCGTCGGCGCTGACAGAGAAGAGAGTGGGGGCCTTCTCGACGGCCTCCCACGGCCTCTCGAGCTCGGAGATTGCGGCTTTGAGCTCCGCGCGCTTGCGCATCTCGTATATCTGGCGCTCGCGAGCCAGCCGGGCTTTGAGGAGCTGCTTTGATTTCTTCGCCTGCATTCGCTTCCACTGCCACTTGGTCACTCCTCCCGGGAAGGTCCTCGGGCCGCCGCCCATGCAAACCGTCGTGGGCTTGTTAGAGGCGGTCAGTCCGAGGCGAGAAAATTCGGTGTGGAGGAATAATAATCTTGTGGGAGATACGGATGATGAGTGAGAATGATGGATTGGCGTTCCGGAGAGGGCTGATGGAAGCAGAGCCATTTTTCGCTCAGAAATTTTGCAGATCGATAAGCAAGGAGGAGGCGTTGGGCAAAATTGCTGCTTTAGAAGAAACAGCCTTTTGCCCTCTGCGGGCTGCTCCCGTCATTTACAGCCAGTGCAGGCCCATTTCATCGTACACTCAGACAACCAATTCACAATATCCCTATCCGAAACCTTTTTCTTTTGGAATGAGAATGGCTTACATCGATAACACATCATTCAGATACTAGATAATCTGATAAAACAACTCCTAACCGTTGTCGTCCCTCGAACCAGATTCAGAGTTTATCGTCTCAGTAATATAACTCGATGATCCATTAATTGGTACAAATGAGACAAAGACGATTACCGCAGTCATTCCATCACTCACATCCAAATCCAAAACCACAATCTTACAACCAAAAGTGATTAAATAACAAACAAACACAGACAAATTCAGACCATTAACATAAATAAAAGCAAAAAAATACATTTCTTCACTCAGCCTTCCAAGAACCATCGGCGGCGGTTTAGGAGGGGGGTCGGATCACCTTCATTTCATCTTCTTCCTTCATCGCCTTGATAGGCCTTTGAGTCGCCTCCAGCCAAATCTCCCTATCCACGAACGAATTGTCAGAAGACGGCACCACTCCTCGCCAAAAGACGATAGCGGACAAATAAAACTTTAGAGGTGAAACCCTATAGACAAGACGTGAATCCAGGACGATGCAGTCCTCCTCCTCTTTGATCGATGAAATATTGATCGCCGCAGTCTTCATCTCCTCCGCAGAAATCCGAGCTCGTCGCGACTCGCAAAGTTGAAGCAGAAAACGTCTTCGAAGTTTCAATCGATACTGGAATCTCATTTCTATCTGAAACTTTAACAACCCAATAACATTCAAATTATTTGAATCGGCTTATTTTACTGAAATTTATATAGTTATGAATGAAATAATTGAATTGATTACTTTTGTTGAATAATGAAAAAATTTAAAATATATTTTATTAGTAAAATAACGAAAAAATTATAAGAAAAATAGCTAAAACTATTCTCTATGGTAATCGATTTTTTTTAAACATTAATAATAAAAAATCTATGGACAAAAATATAACTATAAGTTACTATTTGTAAGATTTATAATCATTATGATGTAACTAACATTTGACATTTGCATACAACTATAGTCACTAAAGTTACTAAGATCACATTTATGTTCAATATTTTTATAGTCCCTCCGTCCCGTAATCAAATTCTCAGTTTGACTTCACACATATTAAGGAAATAAACTTACTGGGGGGTAAATTTTACTGTTTTGACACTGTTTGATCACTGTTCGGACATTATTTGGCACTGTTTGGCACTGTTTTGATGTAGAAAATTTGCCAAATAAGGAAGTGGGAAGAAGTGGGAAGTTAATTTCAGGACTGCCCAAAACGGAAAGTGGGAAGTTGTTTACAGGACGAATGGAGTATTAGTTATATATTTGGAATTCAAATAATTTTGATTTTTTTCCTCATCTTCTTACATCTCATCCTTTGTTTTTTCAGTCTACAAAACCATATAAAATAAAAATGAATAAATACTAAATTCTTCGTAGTATTCATTGCAATCGTTAGTATCAACGGATTTAAAACGTGAATTTTGCTATAGGTACTCCAAACCATATCCCATGTGTACCCTATATAAAAACACACCCCCACTTTTCTTCTCCCCTCCCTCCCTCTCTCCTGCACCCCCACCTGAGGCCACCTCTCTTCCTCCATCCCTCCCTCTCCTCTTTTCACGCACCCCCCTCCCTTCCTCTTTCTTCTACATTTCAAGATCTTTCCCCTTCTTTAAGACTTCCCATTTTTACCATCTCCCCCCCCCCCACCTTTGATCTTCTCCTGCTTATCTCCTCTTCCACCGGTGACGTTGTCGACACCGGGCCTACGCCGGTTGCCATTTCGGATGCAACCTCAAGGGAAGACAACGACGAAGGCAAACCAAGAAGCTTTGAATAACTTGAGAATCAGATCCTCTTTTCTTGATTTTGTTTTCTTGATTTTTTGATGTATTTTCGAAATAAAAATGGTTGCCTATCTGACAGACAACTTTTAAGTGCAGTGTCTGTAAGAGTCGTGATGTTATCTGTTATTTGAAAAATAAATTTCTGTACTTGATATTTAATTGTTTGTCATTTGTTTATTAGTTGTCTATATTGTTTTGAGTTGTCTGTAATGACTTGTCTGTCATGTTGTTGTGAGGTATCTGTAAGAGTCGTGAAGTTGTCTGTAACTCATATTTAGTTGTTTGTCATTTCATTGTGAGTTGTATGTAATTTGTGGTGAAAATAATGTCTGTCTGGTTATCTCTATTGTCTGTCTAGTTATACGTATTGTCTGTCTTTTTTATGAAACATATGCGAAAATGGTAATTCACAATAAAGTAATGTCTGAATGTGTATACTTATTGGCTATATGTGTATATTTAATGCTTGTCTCGTTATATTAATTACATATGAAACAATACACATCACAAATTACATACAACTCACAATCAAATACAGACAACTCAAAACAAATACAGACAACTCAAAACAAATACAGACATTTCAAAACAAATGACAAACAATTAACCATCAATTACAGACAGACATACAACTTCACGAGTCTTACTAACAAATACAGACACTGCACTTACAAGTTGTCTGTCAAACAGACAACCCTTTTTTATTTCGTAAACACACCAAAAAATCAAGAAAAGAAGATCCGCTCAATCATTCAAAACTTCTTGGTCTGCACCTTCACTTTTGTCTCCCCATGTATCCAACGTCACCGAGTTCTCCTCGTTCGTCCGATTACTGTAGCTCGTGTATTTGAAATGAAAAAAAAAAACGGAAAAGGAGAGAAGCAGGAAAAGAAGCTTGGAGGGGGGTAAGATGGAAAAAATGAGAAGTATTAGTGAAGGGAGAAATCTTGAAATGGGGAAGAAATCAAGATTTGGAGAAAAGAGAAAGAAGGGGGAGGGGATGGGGGCTGCGTGAAAAGGAGAGAGGGTGGGAGGAGAGAAGAAAAGTGGAGGAGGGTGGGAGGGGAGAAGAAAAGTTGGGGGGGGGGGGGTTATATGGGGAAAAAAGTGGGGTAAAAACTTGGGGGAAATGAAGTAAAAGAAAAAACAAATTTACGTTCTAGAAAGAATAGTCTTGACAAGACCAATGAGACATGAAATGGATGTTTGACATTGAGTGATTCACTGATTATGTTAGGATATTGTCAATAACGAATTTAGTGAAATTTAATTAGGTGACATATTGTAAACAAAAGATGTGTGGGAATTTAATTGTTCGGTCATAGTGATTAGTAGGTAATACCCTATTTCTAAACGCGGATATTTGTAGCATTTCTGTTTCAGTAGTTTCGTCAAAAAACAGTAGGGTCCAATAGCTATTTATCAAATAATGTTTTCACTTATTAAAAATAGCTAAAAATGGTCCAACCGTTGATGTTTTACCTCCCAAATATCTTCCTACTTCATATCATTAACTAAAATTTTAAAAGTTCCTCTAAAACGAAAATATTGATTCAATTAAAATAATAATAATAATAATAATAATAATAATAATAATAATAATAATAATAATAATAATAATAATAATAATAATAATAATAATAATAATAATAATAATAATAATAATAATAATAATAATAATAATAATAATAATAATAATAATAATAATAATAATAATAATAATAATAATAATAATAATAATAATAATAATAATAATAATAATAATAATAATAATAATAATAATAATAATAATAATAATAATAATAATAATAATAATAATAATAATAATAATAATAATAATAATAATAATAATAATAATAATAATAATAATAATAATAATAATAATAATAATAATAATAATAATAATAATAATAATAATAATAATAATAATAATAATAATAATAATAATAATAATAATAATAATAATAATAATAATAATAATAATAATAATAATAATAATAATAATAATAATAATAATAATAATAATAATAAATACTCCCTCCGTTCTCTAATAGATGGGAGTATAGGCTTTGGCACAAAATTTAAGATGGAATTAATAGGGATAGGATAAAAGGTGTAGTGCGTTGTGTGTAAAGGAAACAATAGGGAAGAGAATGAGTGTAAATGGGTATATTTATTGAAAAAATTTGCCAAAAGTGAAAAGAGAGACAACTAATAGAGAACATTCCAAAATGGAAAGAGGGTCAAGTATCAGAGAATGGATGGAGTAGCAAATATCTTCCTAGTTCATATCATCATCTAAAATTTGAAAAGCTCCACTGAAACGAAGAAAAGTATAATCCAATTAAGATAATAATAAAATAGCAAGGTTCAATTAATGATTAATTTTCCACAAATGGAAAGTTGAGTAAAATTAGGAGAGTAAATTATACATTTTAAATATAATTTTTCAATAATCTAACCCAAGCACAATAGTGTCAAATCTTAATCTTCAAATAACAACTCCGATGTACTTGACAGCAATATATTCATCCGTTTCTTTCGGATGATGAAGAGGCTTTCAGAAGTGAATTACTGTATTCTCACTTACAACCATGCGTGCTAACTTTGTGATATTTACAAAATTAGCCATCTTATAATAACCCATCTTTCAAAAAACAAAACATAAAGCCATCTTATACATTTTTTTATAAAGATCAATTTCTGCGGGAACCTCAGTTGAATTTAATAATAACCCCGCAAATGAAACGAGCTTACAGATGAGCGTAGTAACAAACATCTATCTACACAATGTTCGACTCAAATGAAACGAGCTTACAATGTGCAACTCCAAGTTATTTTAAACGAACAAATCACATACTACGTATGAATTTGTTAGCAAACAAAGTCGCAAATTAGTCATGACTTGCTCAATACTTCTTTCAGACCCGTACTTTTATATGGTACCACCGTACAACCCAAAAGGACTTTAGTTTTATTATTGTTGTTGTTATTATGTGAATAATAATAATTAATCTCTAAAGCTGATGTTCGTTCTCATTTGCCAAAAAACGAATTACTGATGGCAGAAATATGAAAAGAACCCTGGTTCTTGCTGAACCAGATTAGATCAACCTAACCTTATGCTTTTGAGGCATTGATTGACTATATAAACAAGCTTAAAAGCATTGAAACATCAAACAATCATGTTTATCTCTATCATCCTATAAAAGTTTGAGCAGTTTAAGGCGTTCTTCGTGCTCCGGGTCCAGTTTCGGTGTGGTATAGCAGCCATGGAGATCTTCAACTACGTATTCCTGCAGATTCAGAGAGAGGGAGATCATTGCTGCTCCTAATTTACAGGCACTTGAGGTTACAAACAGAAGCAGAAAAGGGAATGAACCTGTGTAAGTTCTCTCTTAGTCAGAATGTGATAGTGCCTCTGCCAGATCCTTTGGAATGCCATGGTGGCAGCAAGAAACCCATACGCAATGCCCATGATAGCAAAGATGACTACGAAAATGATAACCAAGGCGAAGCATGCTTCCATTGATGCAGGAAAGCAATCCAAGATGCCCCAGCCATAACAGCAGTTCTGACAACCAGCCATGTGTGGGTCATTGCTATTAAAGGAGGAGCAGTGTAGAATCAACCCAAAAAACCCAAGCAGCACAAAGAAGGCAATTACTCCTGTTTCGTTATCAAAGTTCAGTTAAAGCCCTCCTCCAGTAATGGGAAAAACTTGCAAATTCCCACAACTCACATTCTACACTACTAAAGCTTATCTGGATCTAAAACATGTTTTGGATTTGGCTGAAACGACTAAATTGGCTGGACAACACAGCGGAATGGTCTAAATATTCTGAAAAAATAAAGTATACTCTATACTCTAGTATATTATATATTGTACGTAACGTTTAAAATAAGTACAAAATGTAACTTATTTTCTACCATCAAATAAGTTAGTTTTTGGTACATAATTTGGATGATAAACAGAATAGTTATCCTACCTGACTGCTACCAAGTAATTCCCTTTACCACTCTATTAAGAACATTTCTGCAACAAACGAATTGCATTTTTTATCCAAATAATCCGATTATTGCAATTTCACAAACTTACAATGCTTACCAGTACAATAACAAAAGGAGGTATCATGTTGGACAAGATATGGTTCAGTACTACATTTACTCCAGAAATTCAATGATATTATTGTATCTTAACCTACATATAACAGCATCAAAGCCTTAACCTACATATACAATCTTTTTTGGTGAGTGGGGGAGCTTACCTAAGCAATAATAAAAGGGAATAGGATGTTTGGATAATATTCGGTCCCAACTGTCATTGAATGAATTCCTAAATGTTCCATCTTTATCAATGAGATAAGCAAAGCCACCAATCACTGCAATCACCTGTCAAGTAAAAGTAAGGACAATAACAATTAAATGAAGTTCAAAATGTGGTTCAAGATTGTACCAAATTTAACACCATTACCTTCAGGGGAAAAAAAATACAACTGGTAAAAAAAATCTTCAGTCTTTCTATTTTAGTTCCAAACGTGCATGTTTTCCTCTTCATCTTTTCATTTTTTTAAAGAAACCCTAGAGATACAAGCATCTTAAGCACATATCCATTCAAAAAAAAGAATGCTTTCAGTATACACAAAGTGGGCTTAAAAACACTCGCCTGGTGAAAAGACACATTCAGTAGAAGCAACATAAGTGCAAACATTAAGGAAGGCCAAATACGTACAGATTGTACAGCCAAAAAGACAAGAAAAATATCCCTAGCAACAAAGAGTCTGAACTTTATATTCCTCCAACTGCTGTCCTCTAACTCTGCCACTCGAAGATGAAACTGAGCTTTACAAGTAGTACAATGTGAAAATGCGAATCCTTCCTACAATACAATATACATCAGAAGTCATCATTTCATATTAAACCATTGGGCTGGATTGTAATAATGGAGTTGTAATATCTCACTTTGACTGATCGCCAATGATCAAGACAAGTGCGATGCACAAACTGTTGGGTGCCTTTGCACATGCACGGCGATATCAAATCATCATCTGAAAATGGGATTAGTTAGAGGAAAGCAAAACTAGGTTCATCAAACCACTAGTGACAAATGATGATTTTAATAAGGAAAAAGCCATTTGTACACATTTGTTGTACACAGCAACAGTGTGTGTACAACAAATGTGTAGAGTAGCACTCGTCTTTTAATAATGGATTTATTGGATTCCTTCTTGTCAAAGTACATAGTACAATAGTACAATTGCCCAAGCACTAACCACCACACATAAACTTGACCGAACATATTTGAAGAGACACATACAAATAGTGATGAACAGAATTAAACTAGCTCCCGACTTTTTCCAACTACATTTCCAAACTATCTCTTACAAAACAAGAACCGCATTAAACTCCTCATACACGAATTTATAATACCTAAATAGTGAAACCGAGAACAAAAATCATCGCTCAGCACGTGTTGATAAACTATTAAGACCCGGGGTTTCATCCTAAAAGGTCAACCTTATAGGAGGAGTAGCCCAAAGCCTTTATATAGTGTTTAGTTGTTTTATAGCTTTCCGGTGTGGGACAAATGCTTCAACACGCCCCCTCAGCCCGAACCGGGCTGGACAATATCGGGGTGTATAAACGGGCCAAACAAACCCTTAACAAGCTACCCTTAATCATGGGTGCTAAACAAGCCGTCAAACCACAACCGAAATTGGCTCTGATACCATGTTAAGACCCGGGGTTTCATCCTAAAAGGTCAACCTTATAGGAGGAGTAGCCCAAAGCCTTTATATAGTGTTTAGTTGTTTTATAGCTTTCCGGTGTGGGACAAATGCTTCAACATAAACAACTACGTAAACATAGTGGCAATATATACTCCGAATAAAATAAATTGATAAGGAGTACTACCATCTTGGCCATCGCACTCGAGGCAAATTCTGCAGCAAGGCAGAGAACCAGTCTCCAAATCTTCTACCCTTATCTCGTTGGAGCTCTCCGATTCAGAAGAAAGAGGTGGCGTCGGGTCCTCACGGTTTTCGTTTAGCAGAGGATCGGAGTCGCTAGGATTAGGGCCTCCCAAAGGCTCCAGCTGTACTTCTCCATTCATCGATCCTACTCCTTGTAAGAACAACAAAGCAAATCCGCCCTCCAAAATCCCTAATCTTATTGGAGAATATATATATATATCTCACTGTGGATCGTTAAACAATGATCAATTCACCAAGTTAAGAGCCTGGAGTTCAAAATAAATAACAAAAAACGGAGTTTCGAAAGCGAATTGTGAATTTTCATGAATAGCAGCGAGAATTATAGAGTGAATCGGGAGGATTGAAAAAATGGTTGAAGCACACACATGATGAAGACGACGTCAACGGAGATGCTTTAAGGGGCTTTCGGCTTTATTCTGGAGTTTGCACTTTGTAGTCTAGTCGTGATAAATTTAATTCTTTTTTCGGGTTCTTCAAAGGAGAATTTATCGAAAAGGGCCGAAAAAGGTTGAGTATTTTGAATCTACCCGGCCTTCTATTACATTATTAGGAAATGGTGTAATTACATAAGGACCCTTAATAAAACGACACCATGAACTTAAAAACGACTGTCTATCCGATTTCGAAAAACGGGAAACGGCTTGTTGGTCCCACCAGCTTCCACAATCCAACTTCCGGAATCCCAGCTTCCCCTTCCCACACACTTCATCATTCACTATCAGTCGAAATCGATTTCGGTCGAGCTCCGGGTTAGGGCAGAAGCATTTTCGATTTCCAGCACAAGCATTCCTCGATTTCTACTTCGACTTCGACGAGGAGCATTCTTACATCTCCTTCCATCATCATGAAGTGCAAAAGTCCTACGGTTCCTCTTGGGAAAAGCCAAGCAAGACGGCGACTTGTGAAAGCATCTGAAGTGATGGAAGCCAAAGATGAACTCAATATTCAGGTAAATGTTAGATTATTTATGATTGCTTGAGAGCGATACTTGGTTCTTTAGAAAGCTAGACGTGGTAATTTCTCAAATGAAAGCTATAGATGTTCATTCGAATCCGAACTCAACTCAGTCGACCCAAATCATGTTTGATTATTTTGAAAACGCAATGCATGTTTCTCACTATTTTTTCTAAGTAAACATACCTACCAATTATACAAGTATCATTGGTGGTTAATCCGGAGTGAATTTCTGTAAAATCATTTGGTCGAACTAAACATACATTTTTTACCAATCTTAGTCGAAACGGAGTTGTAAACCATTGGTTCGACCGTATCTTAGTCGAACATCTGTAATTTTTTTTATATGCAGGTTCCTTCCTTGCCTCCTGTGGTGGACTGCTCGTTGTTCCCGAGCATGAAGCTCACAGTAAGGCAAAAATTGGATGAATTTATAGAATTAATTTTCGACAATCTTGGTGAGTTTCCCAATCTCATGGGTGCATTTAGGTCGAGTGTATTTGGGAAATACATTGATGTTGAGTTCATCCCTGTTCCATTACATTTGTGGTCAATCGTGTCTAGATTAGCCAAAATTGATATTGAATCGGAGGCATGGTTTGTCGTGAAGGGAGTTCCAGTACGCTACTCTCTCACAGAATTTGCTCTAATCAGCGGGCTTACCTGCAGCGCCCTTGCTAGCAATTATGAAAATGATTTTGATAATGATTCAAAGGCCAGATTCATTGAGAAGAATTTTGATCAAGATTTTGAGGGAGTTGTTAGCTATGAAACAGTTGTAGCTAGATTTGTACAATTGTGCACAACTTTGAAGGACCCTGAAGCTGAGGACGAACTGAAAAAGGATGCTGAAGTAGAAGTGATCAGAGTAGCAATACTCATGTTTGTAGTGATGGTCCTTCTAGCTCCTTCTAAGAGAAAAGCTCCCATTCCTGAATGGATAATTGGGAAAATAGGGGGAAAAGAAGAAAACGAGTTCCCATGGGGTACGTGGGCGTATAAGGGCTCATTAGATGCATTGAAACATATGGACTTGGAGAAAAAGCTAGATGAAATAATTGCTAAAAATAAGTCAGCAACAATGAATTTCCCTGGATTCTTAATCCCAATTTCGGTAAGGACCTTTGTCAATATCATTTGCAGATTCTATTTTGCATACTGTAATAACAATTTGTCTAGCATTTCTTGACTTTTTCAAATTTTGTTTTAATAGATATTGCTTTTTGAATGCGCCCCTGATTTTGCCGAGAAGTTTGCAATGAGACTCCCTAATTGTGTGCCTACTTTGCCGAGGTTACGTCTCTATCGTCCAAATACGACAAAAAGGATCAGCACTGAACAGGTTCAAGTGGCTGAAGAATCAATAAAGGTAAGAACATTTTCACACTTATAACCTTTGTTCGACCAGATTGTGGTCGAACAAATAAACGTGATCGACTACTACACGGTCGATAATACGTTGTTTTGTTTATACAACTAAAAGTGAAGAACTAAATGTTTGTTACAGAGGGTGCAGAGTATTCTACTACCTGATGATTTGGAGAAAACTACTGATTGGGTCAGAAGTTTGGATCCTGTACAAGACAGTCACCCACATGTTGAGCTGGATGGATTTGTGAAATCATTAGAGAGAAAATTGGTTCTTTTTCCAGTCTCTTTGAAAAGAAAATCATGTGAGGTCAAGAGTCCTAAAGAGGAGAAGAAGCCTCCTAAAAAGATGAAGTTGCTGAGCATGAAGAAAGAAGAAGTTGTAGTGGAGGAAAAAAGAAAGAAGAAAAAGAGACACTCTCCTCCTCAAACCCCTATTGCCTCTCCTCAACCTACTGCCCATGTAGAGGAACAAAGAAAGAAAAAGAAACACTCCCCCAAAACCCCTGCTGCTTCTCCTAAGCCTCCTTCCAATGAAGATTCAATAAAAATGTATATTGAACAAAAGTTTAAAGAACTGGAGGATCTTTCAGAAAAAAGGCTCAATTCTTTCAAAGAGCATTATGACAAAAAGTTTCTGGAGTTGGAGAAACGGTCAGAAGAGAGGCACAAGAAACTTGAAGAGTTACTTGTTAAGGTTTGTCTTAATTCTATAGCAAGATAAACCTTTAAAACTTGAGCTTCAATAATTAGTTATAATTTTTTCCTTATATAGTCCACTGCTAGAGGAGAGGAGAAAAGTGTTGAGGGGGCTGAGCATAAAAAGGAGGTAATTGCGTATGCATTAAAGCTGTTAATGGACTTGTAATATTTTTAAAGCTGGTAGAATTGTTTTGTTTTGTGAACGGTCATGAATACTTACTTTACTTATTTTCCATCTAGAAAAATGAAGAGAGTGACGATTCTGAAAAGAAAATGGAGCAAGAAGATGAAAAGGGTTTAGACAAAGAGGCTCAGGCTGAAAAGTTCGACCAAGAGAAGAAGGTACATCGTTTAATTCCAAACATTTGTGTATAAAATATTCCGCCGACTAATATTTGGTCGACCTGTAAATATGTAATAAAAAAGTGGTCGACTTTGCTGTATATTTAACATGTTCTTGATTCTAGAATTTACGTTAATATTGGTAATTCGTATAGATGTTAACAAAGATGTAAGATCATGAATACTTACTTTACTACTTTTCATCTAGGAAAAAGAAGAAGAAGAAGCTCAAGGAAATGAAAAGATGAATGAACAGTATCAGGTTGAAGAGATAGAACAAGAAAAAAAGGTATATTTTAATCAAAAGTATTTGCTTAAACCAAACTGTTTGTTTATAAGAAGATTCGATCCACTAATATTGGATCGACTTTGAAACTATGTAAAAAATAAGTGGTCGACTTGATGTATATTTTATTCATAATTTACTATTTTTCTTCTAGGAAAATGAAGAAGAAAAAGAGTCGGAAGATGCCCAAGACTCTATGGCTAAGGTTTAGTAGTTTAATAAAAAATATTTGTGTTTACAAAGTTTTTTTCAACTGTTTTTTCAATTGCATGGGTGATGGCTTTGAATAAGAAGATTCGATCGACTAATATTGGATCGACTTTGAATCTATGTAAAAAATAGTGGTCGACTTGATGTGCATTTTAATAATACATTACTATTTTTCTTCTAGGAAAATGAAGAAGAAAAAGAGTCGGAAGATGCTCAAGACTCTATGGCTAAGGTTCAGTAGTTTAATAAAAAAATATTTGAGTTTACAAAGCGTTTTTCAACTGTTTTTTCAATTGCAAGGGTGATGGCTTTGAATGTGTATATACCAATTGTTTTCCGCAGGGTCATGAAGTCGAAAATGTATGTACATTGCAGACAAGTGAAGAGATTGGAGAGGTAACTAAATAGATAATAAACAATCGACCAAAAGAGGGCCGACCGAAAAAATCTACTACCTTTGTCTTCTTTAAAGATTAAGCATTAATACATATTATACATATAATGACAAGGTTGATCAGACGGTTGAACTAGGACTGAACATTGTTGATGACTCTATTGGCTTAGGGGAATCAGAGGTAACCTATAAGTAATCGACCAAATTATGATCGACTACTTACGTTAGTAATCGACCAAATTATGATCATGAATACTTACGTTACTATTTTTCATATAGGAAAATGATAAATTGATTACAGAGGTTCATCAGTATCAGTGTGAGGAAATAGAAAAAGAAAAAGAGGTATATTTTAATAAAAAAATATTTGCTTAAACGAAACTGTTTGTGTATAAGAAAAATCGATCGACTAATATTGGATCGACTTTGAATCTATGTAAAAAATAAGTGGTCGACGTGATGTATTATATAAACATCGACTTAGATAATAAACATCTACTACAGAGGTTCGATCGACTAATATTTGATAGACTTTGAATCTATGTAAAAAATAAGTGGTCGACTTGATGTATATTTTATTTATACTTTACTATTTTTATTCTAGGAAAATGAAGAAGAAAATGAGTTGGAAGATGCTCAAGACTCTATTACTAAGGTTCAGTAGTTTAATAAAAAATATTTTTGTATACAAACCTTTTTCAACTGTTTTTTTCCCATTGCAAGGGTGATGGCCTAGAATGTATATATTCCAATTTCTTTCCGCAGGGTGATGTGGAAGAAGTTGTTTGTTCATTGCAGACAATAAACTTATGTACATTGCAAACAACAGAAGAAAGTGGAGAGGTAACTACATACTTAAATAATAAACATCTACTACCGACCTATGTCTTCTTTATAGATTAAGCATTAATATATATTATACTGATAATGGCAAGGGTGATCAGACGGTTGACCCAGGATTGCATATTGCTGATGTCTCTAATGAGACGGTTCATGATCAGTTAGCTGAGGAGAGTGAAAAGGTAACTTATAAATGATCGACCAAAAGAAGGTCGAATACAGAAGATCGACTACTTATTTCTTACCAAAAGGTTAAGCATTAACATATATATTATAATTATAATTGAAGGGTGATGAGAAGGTTGATCCAGGATTGAATGTTGGTGATACTGCTGAACTTGATAATAAAACGAAAGAGGTAAACCACAAAACTTTTTAATATTATAATATCGACTACATTTATTTTTTAAAATATTAAACTTTGACATATATATTACACTTAATAATTGATAGGGTGATGATAAGGTTGAGCAACCATTTCGTATTATTGATTATGTTTCCGATGCTTTTGCCAAGGGTTTGGTTCGCAAAGAAGATGTTAGTGATGCTGATGATGTTAGAATTGTTGAACTTAATGATGAAGAGAAACAGGTAAAACTCAAAATTGTTTTCTCAAGTAGTTGAATTGTTTTATGATATATTCTTTATGATTGTTTGTAGGCATTGTTGGGAAGGGGGCGAAGAACAAAAGGAAGGGGAAAATTTACCAAATCTCCTTATGTGCCCTACAAGGGGAAGAAAAGGAGTCATCCCAGTGAGACGATACTGAAGAAATTTCATACTTTTATAAAAAAAGCCAAGAATGATGGCAGGGATGTTCAGTGCTTCGAGGACAAGTATTCTGAAAGTTCTGGAATGGAAAAGAAATTCTGGTCCATGATGTTGGACGTAGGTGGTTGGCTTGAGTCTCAGGTAAGTAGGTAACCACATTATTTATATTGATGAGTATTTCTTTTTATACAAAACGTTTACTTCATCACATGTAAATCTTTCAGCACTTTGACGAGTATCTTTCCTACCTGAGGAAACGTGTTCTTGATGAAAGTCTCTCAGATGTTGTTGTCACGACGGAATTCTTTTCTTCCTTTATTGATACCAATATGGATCCAAAGCAAGAGCTCTTTCCTGGATTGCTGGATGATTTGAATAAAATGATGGAGGGGACTTCGAGCACTTCTTATATCAAATCTTGGACAGGCGTGAAGCGTCTCTATTTTCCACACAACATTGCTGAAACTCATTGGATGGCAGTGCGAGCAGATTTCGAAAACAATGAGCTTGTTGTGTTTGACTCTCTGCGATGCTTCAGAAGTGATGATGAAATAGTACGCAGTTTAGAGCCGCACAGAAAATGGTTTGGAAATGTTGCTTGCATCCTTAATGGTATTGTCTATGACCCAGAAATAATGCCTCTTTGGAATGTAAAGCGGCCTACCGTACCCCAACAAACCACGAGTGACTGCGGTGTGTTTACAATGAAGTTCATAGAGTTGGACATGGTTGGTAAAGATTTTAAAGAACTTGAAAATATGACTGAAAGCCGCATGAAGCAAGTTAGACTACTCATGGCTTATTCTATATGTAAAGAGTTTCAAGAAACATTAAATGTATGAACTATTTCACTGATATTAAAGGAAGCTTTAATATGTATATACAATGTAAGTTTTTGTTTTCTTTATAATCATTGTTTACCAATTTTACATATAATTTCAAGGTTGATGAGAAGGTTCATGATCAGTTGGTAGGAGAGAGTGGAGAGGTAACTCGGTTTGATGAGTACGAAAGATCGACCTTATGCTCGACCAAGTTTTTTGAAATGGTTATAGATGTTTGTAGGTAATGGGAAGAGCAAAAAGAAAGAAAACAAAGCCAAGGCAGTTTAAGGTAAAAGTTGACGATGCATCTTTGAAGCTTGAAGAACCTGATGCGAAGGTTTTGGAGAGATTTTCTAGCTGGATTCAACAAGCCATAGAAGAGGACAGGGAAGTTCAGTGTCTTTTCCATAAATATAAAGAATCAGATGGAGTGTCAAAGAATTTTTGGACTGTGTTGTTGCGTCCTGGTGGTTGGCTTGCGATCGAGGTAACCAAATGAAGTTATTTTATTCGCTGAAATTACATTTTTCACATATATGTTTACTAAACCACATTTAAATTATTCAGCATCTTGATGAGTTTCTAGTGCATCTGAGAAAACGTCTTATTGAGAAAGAGATCTCCCATGCTGTTGTACCTACAGCTTATTTTGGTAAAATGGCTCAGCGCAATGGAAATGAAGAAATTTACCCGACACTAGAAAAAAGTATAGAGAAAACTATTCTAGGGACAACCACATCAATACACATGATTCCCTGGGAAAATGTTAAATATGCTTATTTCCCTCACAATCTTGGAGGGAATCATTGGGTTTGTGTAAAAGCAGACTTTGAGGTGGGAGAGCTTGTAACATTTGACTCTCTCAGGGGATTGATGAGTGATGAAACTTTTGAAGCAGCTATGAAGCCATTAAGAATGGTATTCCCTGTAATAGCATCCTTTGCCAAGTTGGGTACACACACATATGAAAACAAGTCAATGTGGGAAGTAAAACGCCCTATTGTACCGCAACAGAAAGAGGATGACTGTGGAGTGTTTGCCTTAAAGTTTCTAGAGTTGGACCTTTTTGGGAAAGATTTCAAAGAACTCGAAAATATTAATCACCAGAAGACCAAAAAAATTAGACTTAGATTGGCATTTGATATATGTCAGGAATTTAAGGAGACATCAATGTGTAAACTGTCTATGTAATTTTTGTTATTTTATTTGTTTGGTAAATATTGAATGCAATCATTTATATGCTAAGTGTTTCCTTGTACATAATTAGGGTTTCCTTGTATATCTAAAATACATGCATTTCCTAATTCTTAATACTTCGTTCGTATATGGTATATATCTAGAATCTAGAATATATGGTATATATCCAGAATATATGGTATCGGTATATATCTAGAATATACCTTTGGACTATATATTCCTTGTATATCTAGTGTACTATATGTGTGTGTGTGTGTGTCTTGAGATGGCATCATTTATATGCTAAATGTTTATTGATAGTTCATTTGTTCGGCTACATAGATGAGTCAATCATTTAGATCGACCATATGTAGGTCGACTATGATTTGGTCGATATTTAACAAATGCATGTAAAACGTAAAAACATAAAAAGGTTGAGTGTGGGTGTTTTCTAAAACATAATTAGGGTGTTTCCTTGTACATAATTAGGGTTTCCTTGTATATCTAAAATACATTTCCTAATTCTTAATACTTCGTATACCATATATATATATATATATATATATATATATATATATATCTAGACTAGAAATTATGGTATATATCTAGAATATATGGTATCGGTATATATCTAGAATATACCTTTGGAATATATATTCCTTGTATATCTAGTGTACTATATATATGTGTGTGTTTGTGTGTGTCTTGAGATTTCATCATTTATATGCTAAATGTTTATTGATAGTTCATTTGTTCGGCTACATAGATGAGTTAATGATTTAGATCGACCATATGTAGGTCGACTATGATTTGGTCGATATTTAACAAATGCATGTAAAACGTAAAAACATAAAAAGGTTGAGTGTGAGTGTTTTCTAAAACATAATTAGGGTGTTTCCTTGTACATAATTAGGGTTTCCCTGTATATCTAAAATACATTTCCTAATTCTTAATACTTCGTATACCATATATATATATATATATATATAATACTTCTTAATAATCATCATAAATACAATTATCAGTTAAGGTGACTTTTGATTTACCCAATAAAAATAAATCTCACTTGCTTCGTCGACCCTTAAATCAAGTCGACCATTGTTTGTTCAACCACTGGTCGATCAGGACGTTCATTTATCTCATTTTTTCACATAAAACCTTACCACTGTTTGTAATATTAAGTAATGGTACGTGTAACCAATAAGAATTAAATTCAATAATTATTAAAAATGTAACTCAATTTAAAAATTAAATTCACTCAATTAAAATATGATGTCAGTTTATTTAAAGTTCTCACTTTAAATAAAAATTAAATTCATTTTAAATCCATACTGTTGGTAGATTTTTACAAATGTAGATGAAATTTTGAAACAATAATTGAAAGCTGAGTAACGTAATGTTCGTTTAAAAGATGTAGATGGCTTGAAAAGGTTTTCAGTACGAAGTATGTATTTTGTTATATGTATTAATGAATTTAGTATGTTTTATTTTACAATTAAAACAATGATTAATTGTAATATTTGTCACCAATAAAATTCATTTATAACAGCTTATCATTAGTATAATACTTCTTAATAATCATCATAAATACAATTATCAGTTAAGGTGACTTTTGATTTACCCAATAAAAATAAATCTCACTTGCTTCGTCGACCCTTAAATCAAGTCGACCATTGTTTGTTCAACCACTGGTCGATCAGGTCGTTCATTGATCTCCTTTTTTCACATAAAACCTTACCACTGTTTGTAATATTAAGTAATGGTACGTGTAACCAATAAGAATTAAATTCAATAATTATTAAAAATGTAACTCAATTTAAAAATTAAATTCACTCAATTAAAATATGATGTCAGTTTATTTAAAGTTCTCACTTTAAATAAAAATTAAATTCATTTTAAATCCATACTGTTGGTAGATTTTTACAAATGTAGATGAAATTTTGAAACAATAATTGAATGCTGAGTAACGTAATGTTCGTTTAAAAGATGTAGATGGCTTGAAAAGGTTTTCAGTACGAAGTATGTATTTTGTTATATGTATTAATGAATTTAGTATGTTTTATTTTACAATTAAAACAATGATTAATTGTAATATTTGTCACCAATAAAATTCATTTATAACAGCTTATCATTAGTATAATACTTCTTAATAATCATCATAAATACAATTATCAGTTAAGGTGACTTTTGATTTACCCAATAAAAATAAATCTCACTTGCTTCGTCGACCCTTAAATCAAGTCGACCATTGTTTGTTCAACCACTGGTCGATCAGGACGTTCATTGATCTCATTTTTTCACATAAAACCTTACAACTGTTTGTAATATTAAGTAATGGTACGTGTAACCAATAAGAATTAAATTCAATAATTATTAAAAATGTAACTCAATTTAAAAATTAAATTCACTCAATTAAAATATGATGTCAGTTTATTTAAAGTTCTCACTTTAAATAAAAATTAAATTCATTTTAAATCCATACTGTTGGTAGATTTTTACAAATGTAGATGAAATTTTGAAACAATAATTGAAAGCTGAGTAACGTAATGTTCGTTTAAAAGATGTAGATGGCTTGAAAAGGTTTTCAGTACGAAGTATGTATTTTGTTATATGTATTAATGAATTTAGTATGTTTTATTTTACAATTAAAACAATGATTAATTGTAATATTTGTCACCAATAAAATTCATTTATAACAGCTTATCATTAGTATAATACTTCTTAATAATCATCATAAATACAATTATCAGTTAAGGTGACTTTTGATTTACCCAATAAAAATAAATCTCACTTGCTTCGTCGACCCTTAAATCAAGTCGACCATTGTTTGTTCAACCACTGGTCGATCAGGACGTTCATTGATCTCATTTTTTCACATAAAACCTTACCACTGTTTGTAATATTAAGTAATGGTACGTGTAACCAATAAGAATTAAATATGTAAAATGATAATTAAATTCATTCATACATATATAATACTCAGTTATAATTACATACAACTAAGTAATATTTTACCTAAAAATGTTTGACTAATCAACTACGTTTGAATATTCAAATGTTTGAATATAACTAAAAAATGAAACAGTAAAATAAAAAGTTAATACAGTTATACAATCACAGTTAAGACTATAATGAAACTATAATTATTCCATAAAAAAACACTAAGTGATCGAACTATTTAAAAAAAAAAACACATAAATATTGTGAAGTCGACTGTCGACTAACATCTACATTAATATTAATATTCTACAATATTTTCCACGTAGTTTAGTAATTTAAATGTACATCGACCTGTTGGAATTCCTAAACGTGATACATAATCACTAAACCTCCGTCCGTTCACCGAAATGGAGGTAGCTTCCTTACACTGGGACGTCTCCAAGTTATAAAGGTAGTATTTTGATTGCCCATCTGCTGCTACGAATGACTTGATGAAAATATTACCATCGCATTCCTCACCGGCGAATTCACCATTAACCACTTCATCAGGAAGTATGATGTCCTTTGCATCCCAACCATACTGCTCCAAAATCCAAACTTTAAGCCCACGAAGCAGTCCTACCTTCCCTTTCAAATTTATTATTTCTTGGAAATAATAGGGGTTCTCGAACCACCCAGTAGGGCCATGTTGATGTATAGAGGATGCTGGAACAGATTGCTGTTGAAGTCTTTCCTCCTGCAAGTCGAAGAATGCAACTGCTTGAACATCTCTACGTCCTTTCTTGTAATACAGCCTTCCATTAATGCATGAACAATCAGCATTTCCAATGTCAAAATCAGCACTTGGATGGAGCAAGTTCCTCCACTCTGGGCTTCCAATGCTCAGAATGTGACACTTTTGTGAAGAATTGCGATTATAGTGTACAAGTTTGAACATTTTAGAAGACTCATCAAACCCGAGTGAAAAACTGCTAGTGCTTGAGATGTGCTCCATAACTGGAAGGGCTTTTCTACTGAATGTGGACAAGTTTATGAAGATAAGAGCAGGCGCTTCTTGGTGACCAAAATCAAAGGCATCAGAAATAAACAACACCATATGGCCTTTGGAAATGTTAGAAGGTGTTTGAAACTTTGTAGCGTTCAGGCAGGAAAGTGAAGTAGATGGAAAAGGTTTATTTGTGATATGAACTTCAGTTTGGTATGGGGAAATTACATAGACAAGATGAGGATATTGACAATCATATAACATTATCAAACAAGTCTCTATACAAGCAAATAACATGTGAGTAGCTTCTGCACGACATATGCTGTTGTCTTGGTGGGCTTCTTGAAATGTAGAATCGCTAATCATATTACGCCAACCTTTTGAAACACACTTGTACCTCATCAGATACTTAGCAGGAAGTTTCTTTAAGATTTCAAGAACAATGTCATGGGGAAGAACAACAATTCTGTTACGGAACATCTCCGATGGTAGATAGATCGATTGTAGGATTTCGTATGGGAGAGAAAGTGAGAAAACGAGTGTAATTACTTGTATATATACTTGAAT